GTCTAACCTATCTCCTTCTATCCTTCTTGGTCTAAGTCTAGCCTGAGGTTACGAGACGAAGGCGGCAAGCGGGATTGAAACCCGTAGGACCGCGCCAAGGCCTCTCTGGGAGGTTCGCCCCACCGATTGCGGGAGCTCTGCCGGAGCCCGGACGGGGTTCTGGAGGCAGGGAACTTCAGGTATAATCTCGTTTAACGCGTATGATCCCTTCCCCTATCTGTTATCCTTGGGTATCTAAATATAACTATGTCAGGATATTACTGGTTGTTTTGTTACGTATGTCAGGACATGGTTTGCAGAAGGCTAAATGAACAGCTATATATGGGAGATCAGATTTCCTTTGAGTAAATTCAAACAGAATGAACTGGGGGAAAGTGGGTTGAAGGTGTATTGCCTGCTTTGACCGGGTCAACTCAAGGCTGAGCTCCTCTAAGTTGATGTGGGCTCAGTGCTATGTTTTATTTATGTTTGCTGGGCTGAATGTATGATCTTTAAGGGCCGGGCCTATCCTAAGTTGGACGGACCAGTCGCTGTTTCTTTCAGGGGTTTCTGAACAGGAGGATCGACACCCTAAGTTGGGAGGTCTCAAAATCCTGATGTTTCTGAAAACAGAGCTGGGAATACTCTAAGTTGCGTGGACCCAGTGCTGTGTGTGTTTTCTTCTGAGGGGGACACCGGTATAAGGTTGAGCGTACCCTTAAGTTAGGGCGGCTCAGTCATAAGCCATGAACAGAAAGTCAACCAAAAGTATAAAAATTTGATATATATTATACGAACCTTTACCATCTGGCAGGCCGGGCACCCTAAGTTGGGAAAGCCAGTCAATAAGTCAGGTAGAACAAAATGAAGAGAGAGGCAAATGAAGAGTATAACGGAAGTAACCCGGACAGACTGAGCGTACCCTTAAGTTAGGGCGGTCCAGTCCTATGCTCGTGATAATACAAAGGTACAGAGAGTTAGTATAAATCTGCTTTTATTTTCCTTTTTAAACACATGGCAGGATTGGATGTCTCCCTAAGTTGGGTAGGTCTGATCATCTGCCTAATAAGACAGAAACATATAAAGTTTGTGCAAGTATATCAATGGTTGTTTCCTTATAGTCGTTACGGAGACTAAGCGTACCCTTAAGTTAGGGCGACTTAGTCATACGTCGTTTGTGCTTTGTTCAGACAGATCATGTCTTAAATACGTAAACTGTTTAAGCTAGCTAGGCATACCCTTAAGTTAGGGCGACCTAGTGATATGCTCTTGTCGTTGATGTTATGTAGGTTGGACGTACCCTGAAGTTAGGGCGGTCTGACCACTCGTCGTTCGTACTTGTTTTAGGCAAGTTAGGCACACCCCTAAGTTGGGGCAGCCGAATCATTTGCCCTATGTAACTTTGTCTAAGGCTGACTAGGCATACCCTTAAGTTAGGGCAGTCTAGTCTTATGCTTCACGTCGTCAGTTAAGCAGAAGTCAGACGTACCCTTAAGTTAGGGCGGTCTGGTCATATGTTTCATGACTAGAGTTCAAGTGGTGTTGTGCATACCCTTAAGTTAGGGCAGTCCAGTTGTGCGTACTTTTACTTGTTTAACTAGGTAGGTTTGGCATACCCTTAAGTTGGGGCGTTGCCTGATCATATGCCATACGCAAAGGGCTTTACTAAGGGAGAAACTGAGTGATTTAAACGAACTACTTGGGAAAATTGATGTGGGATTGTGAGAGATGTTTGTTTATGTATGTTTGTCGGTTCTCGTTCTGGCGCGTCTTTTCGATAGGTTAGCTGCCTAGATCTTCGCCAAGTGCTGGAGCCATAGGTAGATGAGATGGATGATGGGAGGGTGACCTTACTTGAAGTTAGAGTTGATGATAGCTCACGATACCATCTTCTCAAAGGGGATCGTATAAACTACCTCCAATAGTAACTATCAAAGGCAAGTGTCAAAAGTTAGTCCCAAGTATAGCTTTGCTTTGCCTTTTTATTGTTAACTATGTATAAATCTTGACAGCCTCCTGTTCCTACTGGAAGCGCTGCCGAAATTTCTACAAATCTAAAAGAGTTAGTCATTTTTGAGCTTGTAGAAATTTTGAAAAGACACTTTTCCTACGGGAAGCGCTTCCGAAATTTTGTAGAATTCGAGGAGCTAGAATAATTTTCAGCTAGGAGATACTTAGAAAATCCACCTTGGTTAGAGGAGATGTTCGGTGACTTGGTACTAATAGAGGAGCTAGGTTACGACTAGGAGAATGTTATCCCCTTGATATAAACATAAGTAGTACTTTTCTTCGGCCTGTACTGTGATGCAGGTTTCCATGTTTTCGCTTGAAGGCTTGATCTGCTCAGCCTGTTCCTTCACAAGAGTTACTTTTCTGTTATCACTGATAACAGGTCGGTTGCCGATTCGTCGGTTTACGACTCAACCCCAATTCACTCTCAATACTCAACCTAAAAAGGCTTTAGCCCTGATGATTTTATTGTTTTGTTAAGATTTCACCCGGACGTTTATTGAATGGCCATTTAACAAAGGTACTGAGTATTTAATTACGATTGGTTGGCTGGACGTTGGGGTTTGCATGGCTAAAGTAAAGGGGTATGAGTATGGAGATTGGTTGGAGTTGACTCCGTGTAGTGCATGGACTTTTGTTTGACTCTTTGATGTGATTGCAGGTGTGGTCCGTGGCTCGAATTATTAGATTGGACTGTCTGCGATCTCACATATGTGTATGGCTAGGAGGAGTCCCATTGTGATTGTGAGATGTGATCGTCACATATCTATTCCCCTATATTTATATAGATGTGCGTATATATATGTACCTGTGCGGGGTATTAGCGTGGCCTGAAGTGACCGCGTATTAAGGACCTAATCAAGGGTTGGGGTGAATAGAAGGGAGAGGATGACCCCCCTCTACTTTTCTTGAAGAATTTTCGGTCGGACGTTAGCCCTGAGCCGGGAATACGATGGTCCTCGCCCAGGACGACCTATCATTAAGTGAACTATCGACCATAATGATGATCGATTGTCCACGAAAGAGTAGTAATTCATGATTCCGAGTATTCTCTGATTGTAGAATCTTAATATGTCTGCATGATCCATGGAGACTATTCCACGTTTTGCCGTGGATATAAAGTCTCCTTTCAAAAATCCCTGTTCTCGCTGTGTACTTAACAGTTTCTGATGGGTGCATGCAACACCAATCTTTTCCTTCTTTCGTACCTTTTGCTTTTACCACGCGATATTTGGGTACCTAGGAAGAAGAATCCGGAATCAATATGTGATATCTTAATTTCTTTGTTTAGCTCTAGTCCGAGCGTACTTAGAAAGGTTGATATAAGATCACATATCTCAATTGCGTCAGGAAGAGGGTCCCGGGGCTAACACTAAAGGGGTTTTCTCTGATAAGCGTTAAAAGTAGTCATTTTTTTTCCTTGTTGGGATTTTTTTTTGTGGAACGCCAAAGTTCCGGGCGGAAGGGTTAGCGTGTCGCTGGTGATGCACCAAACAACTCACCACCGCTCCGAATTCCTTCCTGCCCTAGGGACCATCTTACCCCGCGCCCTTAGGGACACCTCAGGGTGCAGAAGATGGTAAGGCCCTCAGGCCAGTTTTGCGCTCGCTAAAGGGTTGTTCCCCTTAGTGCGCACTTCAGCCGACGCCTGAGCGTCAAAGGCGACCCCACGGCTCAAATAAGGCCATTTGGGAATGAGCGCCATATTGTGCGTCGTCATCGCAGCTAATCGCGTAGGACTACATTGCGGATCGATATGGGTAGGATCTGCGCCCGCGCGATCTTATACTAAAACTTGCGCACGGCAGTTACCGACTTCCGCTACAGAAAGTTATGGGTCGAGCGGAGTCTCTCGTTTTCTGTGGTTGTTCTCCTTTTTGAGTTTATAGTTGGACGCTGTAGTCCGTGGCAGCCGTCAAAGTCAAACCCCGTGATCTTTGGCCACCACGACAGCTTAAAGTTGTTTACTCAACCCCTCTGCACAGGGTGTAGAAGAGGGTGTGGTCATCAACCGCACATGGCGGTTGTCTGGCATTAAGAGATTACCCCTCAAAGCGCCTGTCAGCCGACACTTGAGTGTCGAACGCGACCCTCGAAGATTATCAAGGGCCGCAAGGCTACGATTACCACATGGTACCCCATCAACGCGAGTGCTCGCGTATACCCGCATGGCTAGACGATATGAAGAGGCCATGCGCTCGCTCAACATTTATACGGAAGTCCAACGCGCGATACCTATCTGGTTCTTGCTGCATAGAGTTATGGGTAGAATGTTGAAGGGACTAGGAGTATTGTTGTGTTGTGGTGTTGTGTTGTAGTGTTGTTTGTAGTGGTTGTCTTGTGTGTCTCCGTGTGGTAAGTGTGAGTATTGTGGTGTAACACGTGGTGTGTGTGGCGCGTCCTAGTCAACCGACGTCGGACCGCGTTTGGGACTTCAGCCCCCTAGTGCGTCGATTCACGTACGGGTTCGATTTTGGGCGTTTGACCGCGCGCACCCCCTATGCTACAGCGAGCGAGAAACGCCCTCGGCTGGGCCACCTCTGCAATTGCATACGAAAAACCTTTGCAAGTGGTTCAGTAGCTCGGCGGGGATACGCCCACCTAAGGGATGGTGACAGCTCCCGCAGGTGGAGGTAAGCGGTGCCTCGCATGACCCTGTCATGTCGTAGGGGCTCGCGAGAGGTACGGCTGGCGCAATCGGCCGGAGCGGCAAACGCTCTCCACGACAAGTCTTGTCAAATCCTGCGTGACGCGGCCGGGAGGGTCCCCGTGCGGGACCAATGCGCTCGACAACGTGATTGCGACATTAACGAGCGGGCAGCATCTTGGTGTTATCAACATCGACTGGAGCGCGAAAAGTGTATTGAAGGCATAGGGGATTGGACTTACGACATCATCCGTGGTGGATCATCTGAACTCATGCGATTATAGCCGAAGGGATTGTCGATGTACGATCATGAGAGAGGAGGCGTTAGATCTGTGTACGTGAAGGCGAGTTTGCGTCACCATGCCGGAGCAGGAGGGATCGAGAGAGCGGAGTGGACCAAGGGAACGCAACAAATAATAGGATCGTGATGATAGACGCAATAAGTATGAAGACAAGAATTACCGAGGCGAGAGGTATGACCAAGAGGACAAGTGGGAACATGGGCGTAGGCGTCATTGTCTGCTTTCGATGCGACGAAGTTTGACACTATGTCAATCAGTGCCGGAACCCACCTGTTGAAAGGCAGCATTACGAATCGAAGCCATCGACATCCTCTACATCTTATCGAGGGAGGTCATACTCACCTAAACACATAGAAAGCAGCTACGAAAGACGAACGGCATCAGCGGACCCACATGTCGCAAAGCAGATCCGAGAATTGGGCGCTAGCGTAGCCAGAGTTCGTGACTACATAGAACAAGACCGAGTGAAGAAGGCAACGAAAGAGCAGAAGAAGAAGGAGAAAGAACAAGAGAAGCGTCGTCTAGAAGATGAATGCATGGCACGCGAGCGGCAAGAGATGAAGAAAGTCGACAAGGAGAAAAAAGCAGTAGAAAGAGCGAAACAAGAAGCTCTGAAGGATGCGGAACTACGTGAAGAGATGCGTAAAGTGGTGAACATGCAAGTGCACATGCAATTGGGTCAGGTGAATGAGGCTCTACAGGAGGGGCTGCAACTTACAGCGGAACAGGCGAAGACACTGAGGAGGAAGAAAGGGAAGGAGGAAGTTACCTACCAGAGCGAAGACAAAGAGACAAGCGACGAAGAGAGTTGTAGCGAAGAAGAGGAATTGAGTCGAAAGACTACTAGGCTGCGCATCTCGGAGAAGAGGAAGAGGGCAGACGAGCACGCGTTCGAGGACAACCCTCCGATGGAACTCCCGCCAAAGAGAATCCCAGCTAGGGGTATATTAAAACCATTGAAGTTGTCGACCAAGCTGGCACGCTCGAAGCGTCGTGAATCGGGTGCAGCGAAGGGCATCAAATTAGCCTCCACGAGAACGCCGAGCAAGACGAAGAAGACACTGGTACGCATGAAGACGCCGTCATCAGCGAAGAAGACACCACAGGCAGGTAAAGTAGACAAGACCCCGGGGCAAAACAGAGGTTTGGATAAGTCGGTGTCTTTTGGATCAACGGAAAAGCTGAAACGGAAGAATGCGATTATGTTGAGCCTAAGAGGTTTGGACGCACCGACATCGCAGGGGATTTGCAAGAAGGAAGGGATTCCGTACACAGGTAAGATAGACGCAATCTTCGATATTCGCATCCTGATGGATACGGAGGAAGTGGAGACACGAAGGGAGGACGACGACCAGACTGACGTGGTGACATAGGAGGAGGAGGAAGATGAGATAACCAATCACTAGGAAGTCTTAAGCAACGATGTAACATGGCTTTTCGTGGGATTTTTGACTAATTGGAGAAAGACTAGTAGCAAGGTGGACCCCGTTGTCGAATCTCTGGTACGACTTCTAGTAGTTAAGCTTGCGCTCAATGGATGTATCAGGTGGGCGGAAAAGTGTGTTAAGGCTTGGATTAGTCTCTAAACCAAACATGGTGATGATTTGTAAATGTTGATAATTGTGTGTATGTGGCGATCTTACCTTATTGCAAATCGCAGTATATAGGTAAGACTAATAGGGACCTTAATACATGCTTGAGGGAACATATTTAGGCATGCATCGATAAAACTCAGACGCATTTTTATAGATGGGTTAATACTTTCGGAATCCATCAGTATGTGTTAATACCTGTCGATCGACATGAGGGAGCGGAACTTAGTAAATTAGATACAGTTTATATCAAGAAGTGGTCACCGTTTTTGAATTCGGCAGGCACAGGGAAGGCAAAGCCAGGGCAGAAGCGTTGCGAAGTGGGCAAGAAGGAACGAGTAAGACGAAAGGGTGGGACACGTGTAGCCAATCATCAAGATTTTGTCATCATTAGAGTTCGTGCTAGCGGGACTGAGGCTAGTCAGGTTGATTTTTTTTCCTTCCTGAAGAGAAAAAAGGATGAACGAGTTTCGAACTTTACGTTCACGACTACACCTAGGGATACTTGGTTCCTCGGATGGAAGAGAATTCTTAAACGATTCGGTAAGTCGAGTCTGGAAAATGCATCGGGAGTTTGCCTGTTACACGAGGGCAGACGACTACTGGAGTCGGGGGGTACGTTCACTATTAATTATCTACAAGTATGGAAGAGACAAGGGAACTCGCATAAGGCAGTCTTGTTGGGTATTTTGCGCAACCCACACCTATTATATACCACTAGGCATTGGAAGATCGGAGCAATACTGAGGTTGTACAAATCTGTTAAGGATTTCAGTCGTAAATCTACCAGGAAGTATTTGAGGCGCTTTGTTACCCACTGCTTTAAGGAGCGTTTTGGTTTGAGTTTGAGTGCGGATTTGAGTTTTCGACTCAGGTATGACGAGAGAGTCAAGTTGGGTGAAGTCCGTAAAGTAGCTAATGGCCTGTTGATGGGGTGCGACTTACCAGAGTGTTTCAAACTTCGAACGCGCAGAAAGATTCGCATTGTTTGGACGAAAAATCCATCAATTGGGGATATTATGCATAATCAACGGTCCTTTGCCACTAGATTATTACTTACCTGTCAATGTGCAGGTATGTCCTATCCCAGAGAGGAAGGGCACGTTCGTTTTCGTTTGAGCGCTTTGGAGAGCTGCCATCCTATGCTAGCTAATGCTAATAGCATTCCTACACCAAAGGTGGGTAACAGGTTGAAGCGGCTGAAGGAGGAGTTGACCGATGGGTTCGAGGCATGGTTTAATATGCTTGGTAAGCCGCCAACAATTGACATGGGAGCTTCGAAGGGTCGTCTGGTGAATGATGCTTTTACAAATGGAGACCAACTGACAAGTAAATAAGTACAAGACCTGAAGCAGAGGCTGGATGGTCTAGTCCTTACTCCTTGCGATCGTAATCCGGGTGAGACTGCGGTGATGTGCCTGGCGGTCTATTATAGATCTATGATGGATACTTTCATATGCAACATAGGATACAACATCATTAAGGCACCAACAAGCGTGATCTTATGCGAGATTAACGAGACTGTTAAGTCGGAAGATCTGGAGAAGTTTGCCAAATGCGATAAGAAGGGTAAATTTGGTTCAGCCTACGTTATACCAAAGCAGAAGGATCTGAGTCGTTTTTGTCCTATCTGCCCAACCTTCAACGAGCCAATGGTCAAGACTGGGAGGTTGGTAGCGAAAGTTTTAAACTACTTACTGACCAAAGTTCCTATTTCCTGACATTTTAACCTACGGGCTGTATCTTCTTTGATAGACATTATAAAAGTTGTAAATGACAACTTTGTCAGACTTGGACGGGACCTGAGGATCGAAACACGGTCCTACGATATCAAAGAAATTTTCAGCAAACTTCCGCATGATGACATAGCTCGAGCTTTGATTTGGTTGATTGCACATCACAGGGAAAAGAGGCGTCAGTTTGTGCGAGTTAATACAAGAGGAAACGGTTGTTCGTTTGGCAGAACTATAAGTGCAGACCATTGGAGGGATTTGGATCTGTTTGACTTACAGAAGTTTGTACTGCTTGAGTTATCTAATACTTACACCACCGCTACTGATGTCCTACTTAAGCAGGTAGTAGGGATACCAATGAGAAAGAGTACGAGTCCACCACTTGCTTGCATTTTGTGTGCCTTCTCGGAATACCAGTTTCTGAGCATCCTGGGAAAGGATATGAGACATTTAGGGGGAATCAGACTGATGGATGATGTGACGATTTTCACAGCGGTGAGGGACAGAAAACACAGTGCTAGATTATTTGAAGATTTCACTAACTGCTACCCCAGGAATTTGACGCTCGAACGTACATATGTGGGAGATGGAATAGTACCTTTTCTGGGATGCGAGGTGCGGACAACGCAAAAATTTCCTTACATCGGCTGTGTACAGGTATCAAAAAATGAGGGCTCTGTGTGGGAATCGGAAACCTTGGTGTTTCAAAATTGACAATCATTCAAATCTTTTGGTTGTACAGAAAAGTGCAGTAATTTGTGGGTACTTGCACAGGAATGATCGGAATACATCAATTAGATCCGAAATCCCTCTGAGAGTACTGACTCTGGAGAAGGAATAGAATATATAAAAGGATTCAACAGGCGTTTCTTTCTACGGGTTCTGCAACGATTCAGTGCGCGGCGTGAACAGTACTAGAAACTTACCTTCAAACTAATGAAGGAGAGGAAGGTGATGTGACAGAAGACCAGGATCGGTCCATGGCCGACCTCTGTAACTGTGTAATGTTTCTTTTGGACGGTAACTGGATTTTTTGTCCTACTTTTCTTGTCAATGTCGGTATTGGTTTTGGTTTATCAAGTTGGATTTCTCTGTGACATATGTGATTTTTAGTTTTTTTAGCTATTGAAGTTTCGTATGGTAGTTTAAGAGTACAGAGCATATGAGGATTTCATAGAGATAGATCTGGACAGGGCCTTTGACACGTAGTAGCAATTGGACTTTATGTGTCCTCTACTAGAATAGAGAACCCCGCATGGAATAGGGGTTATTTCTCATGTAACGGTAGCTTTGGAGTTTTCTTGAAAAATGTAGTTTAGTTGAGTCAGTAGGCCAAGGCGGAGCGGGGAAAATGAGGGACTTCGAAAAACATCTTGACCGGTTTCGTAAAGGGAGTTAAGGCCTATACCTGCGTCTATCCAGTAGTGGGCGTAATATTTTGATATTCCGGGGGTATTTGCAGTCACTGAGTAGGCAGGTCCTGTCGAGATAGTCACGAATCATGGGACTAAGGATCAAATTGTTTTTTCTAAGTGGGAAAAGCAGGACCACAAAATGGCCGCGGTAACATGCCTAAAGTACTTATTCCGTAAGCACTTGGGCATCGATCCTTTTCGCAGGTCAACGTGCTCTAGTTCGCCCTGTACCCATTGGATGCAGGAGGACGAAAGGATGGAGATGGGTATGTTGGGAAAAAGGTATAGTAGCAAGGGAGAAGTGGAGGTAATCCCCATGAGGAGACGGTCTGACAACCGTCGAAACGCCGCGTCGGGGACACCCACTTTCTTTCTTTGGTTCTGTTCTTTTAAATCTTCTGATAAATACGTTTGTCAGATTGTGTATTTTTCACATCATCGATTACTTGCATCGTCATATCTATGACTATGAGCAAGGAATCATGCAAATAATAATTATAAATTCTCTGATGTGTCAAACATGCATTGATTTCATCAATTTACTAAATTTGAGAACGGTTGAAGGTATGAATGACTTAGTTGAAGGTATGAATGACTTAGTGTTAAAATTGATTTACTAAATAGTGTTAAAATTGAAGGTATGAGTGTTCCGATCCTTGTTGAAGGTATGAATGACTTAGTGTTAAAATTGATGAGTGTTTTGATAGATGTTCGGTCTGATTAATACTGATCCCTGTGCCGGACGACAATAACCAAGTGTCGACTAGAACTAGATACTCTCGAACTGTCTGATTGAAACTGAACGAATGTCTATTGAAAGTTCTGCTTAAACCCCGATTAAATTTAGAGATGCAGAGTCACCAAACATTGATCTTCTGTAAAGGCGACCGATAGCTAGTAAGTTTTCGTTAACTGAGCATTTTCTTCATCTACCCAAGCCTTGCCCTAGCTTGCTCCACAACCTCTAGAGACGAGCCAACGTTGTGCACTTTGCAATCACTGCCATAAAAATAAGTCACATACTCCACATACTTTTTTCCTTCAACTCTTTGAATTGCACTCTCTTTTAGGATTGTCTTCTGGAATTCCATACGGGTAATTGCCTCAGACTCCCAGTTCTCATGTTTGTTCATAACAACCTTACCTTTTACCACTAGGATTTACTTGTCCTTCATGACACCCCACAGTCCCGAGATTATGATTATAGACACAGTGGACTGTGGATAACCCAAGAGGTGAGCTCCACAGCCCAAGGTAGGACTGGTTTCCGGACTCAAAATTGTTAATATTCCGGTTTACTCTGGTTGTCAGACCGATAGTCAGTGATCCCACATGCACCACACTGCTGATTGAGAACTAGTGCTCTAAAGATGTCCCTATACCAATGAGCTCTGGTTTGCAGATTAATCTACAGGGTAATGAAAGAAGAAGTCTAGCGAGATGTGTAAGGTTGTTCTAAAGTTTTACTGGGTACCGGTTGTACTCGGTCAGACTGAGAGTAGCCTAGGAGCGCATAGTACTGTGAAGCTCCCTAGGAATCTTCTCATGACTCACTCCCACCAGTTTTTCCGAGGGATGTACTGCACGTAGCATGGGCTTTCATGGTGCGCTACCCAAAGGTAGATTCGTGCAGACACCGTACACGCCCAGCTATAAGACATAGGCATTATTCTGGAAATGCACGGAC